TGCTTCGGGCAGCACAGACTTTTGACTGATTTTCGATGCGCAAGTTTCTACTAATTCGGCGCGTTTACATCTTAACGCGTTTTGATTTCTAGTCGTCATTTCACGCTTTGTTATGATCACGTTTGCATCGAATCCGGCGGATGTTCTAGGGAGAGTCCTGTACAATGTAGTGTTGAAAGTTCTTTTCTTTTTCTGATCCCCTCAGTTTCAAATTACATTGTTAATCTAGTATTGGAAGGCAGATCATAGTTTGTTCGGTCAGAGGTGTAAGTGCCCATACATTCGCTCTACTAATCTGTCTTGGCTGAATTAATACAGCTAATGTCCCATTCCGTAGTTACTGTTCGATCGCTTGCATATCGTGATTAGGGAAAGTTATATATGAGCGAAGATTTTTTGATGTGCATGAAGTCAAGAAATGTCATACGTTTGGCTTTAGGAAATGTTATCACCCTCTAGGTTGGTGGCTTACGCCAATGGCACTAGTTCTAATACCTTAGGCAAATTACAGGTTTTACTCGGTTCGATCTTACCCGTTCGGGGGCTTGAGATCGAGCGCTAAGTGTTGAAGAGATTGATGATGTAGATGGATAACTTTTATGTTTGTCACCGTTACAGATGGCAGTAGAAAGGGCCAAACAAATGATCACCGATGTCATCACTAGAGCAGCGTCGCGACCGTCAGCCCAGAGTTTCACAGCTACCGATGGGCGTGCAATCACTGTCGAAATGAGTATACCTGCTACAAAATGCGGTCTTGTAATTGGCAAGATGGGAGAAACCATAAAGCAGCTCCAAGTTTGTGATAAGAGAATGCGAAATTTTTCCGTACAGGAAATTATTCTGTCCATATTAGGAACAAGCTGGTTGCAAAATGGTAATGATACAAGATTCACAAGAAGTTACTGGTCAAGCAAAGCCTTTGCGTATAACTGGTGATCCAGAAAAAGTGACATTTTTTCTGTTTTTTTTTACCTGTTAGGACTAGTTAAATGTTAATATTACAGGTTGAAATAGCAAAACGTCTTGTAACAGACTTAATCAATTCGCGAGAGGATAACGGCACCATACCACGGCTATATTCGGAACAAGCCACAGCGAAAGGCGAGGTATGTTCTGAAGTGGATGAACATTTATGAATAGAAAAAGCTTGCTTTGGTTTTAGGTAGTTGTTCCTCGAGCCAGTGTTGGAATGATTATAGGCAAAGGAGGTGAAACTATAAAAAGGCTCGCTATGGAAACGGGAACAAAGATACAGTTTAAAGCTGATGGTGAGAAAAGAGGGCTCTTTGGACGTAGATTTCGACTAGTGGCTTATCTTTGAATATAGAGTTTTAGGTACCAAAAACAAGTTATTTTGCAGAGATTCTGGATCATATCTCATTAGTTCTTTATTTGGATCAAATTCGGAAAGTGAAGTTCAATAATCTCGTAGAATATGCTATAACATAATTTTTTTTTTAGAAAAACAAGGCTTGATCTTTGTTCTGTTCCTGCGTTTTTCATTAATCAGGAGGATTGAACTTTCAGTCCTGTTATACAAATTAGGTTCAATCTAAATGCCCCGTCAAAACACCCCAGTAACAGCAGAGTCCACTTGGCAACAACTTTTTTTTTTCTACGCGTTAGCCGCCTCGATATTTGCATTGATCTTGTATTCAACTTCTTTTGAGGGGGAA